AGGCGGAAGGTCTTCGAGGTACCAGCGACAGGCGGCAGCAGCAGCAGGACAGTCTGCTCAAGCGGGTATCGTGAAGACAAGGCATGGGTAAACTGGGCAAAAGGCAGAAAGGGTCTCTTTGTATTATTTCTGAGAATAAAACATTTACATATTAAGAATTTTTCTCCCCAAATGATAGAAGTGCTAAACAGAAATGACAGAGAGACTTCATACTTGCTTCTGTTCTTTTTTTTCCTTTGGTACCGGGAACCGCTTCCCAGGCAGGTACTGTCCTGCGGAGCCCTACCCCAGCCCACATTTTTAGGTGGACAGCAAGAGATAGGCAGACTCAGAACACTCCTATGGCTCACGTCTGCAGAAATGAGAACTTCAGCGAAAAGAGCAATTCTGGGAAGCCCTACACACTTGGCTTTGGAAAGGAAGCCTGACCTCCGCACTCTGCTCTTGGCCTTACGGCCGAGATGTCGGTCCTGTGCTCAGAAACCAGAGGAACAATGACGGGCACCAGGAGAAGAGGGAGAAACCCCCAGACATGGAGACGTCCAGGTGGGCTAGAGGAACAAGCAGCCACCTTTATGCGAGTAAGCTTCTGATCTGGCTCCACACACAGCAGGGTCACCGCGATTCCCTGACAGCACTTGAATCGGAGGCCAACATAGTCCTTTATCTCCAATACTTCTGCTTAGAAATCTGCCTTACAAGAATGCCGGGCAACACCCGAGAACACAGCTTGGAAGCGCTAGTACTGGGCCTGCTGAGCTGGTTATGGGGCTCCACGGAATACTCCAGGAAGAGGCCACCACTCTTCAGGAAGCTGATTAACCCTACTGGCAGGCCAGCTGGCTGAACTTAGGCTACCATGCTGAGAAATGAGGAAGTTTACTGCACATCACAAAACTCTCCACAGTGGTCTACACGCTTCCACCTTTCAGGAGTCCCCAGTGCTAAGAAGTAAGTACTGGGGACACAGTTCCTCCCGGGCAATGGAGGCAGGGGGACGCAGCCGCACCTCCCACCTGGCAGAGGCCCTGTACTCAAGGCCTTTCACACACCTCGCCGCATTCTCAACAAGCCGGCAGTGAGTGGTTAGTATGAGCCCCACCCTAGAGGACAGGACGGGAGATCGAGCTCAGAGAGGTTATGTGGCTCCCCTCGGGTCCTCTAGCTGGGAAGAGGCAAGGCTGGTATGCAAGGATCCTCCACTTACAAAACCTTTAGGAAATATCATGCAGTACCACATTAATAATGAAACTCAGGCTCTAAATAATCAGATAATAATCAGAGCTAAACTTGTGTCAATGCAAAGAGGTCAGAGGGAAGATGCTAGCTCGGCATTGAACAGAACAGCGTTTCCTTCACTCGCCTGGTATACAACAAGCCTCCAGCCACGACTGCTAAGCTGAGCTGGAAAAAACACTGCGGAGGACCTCCCTCTCAGCTGTGTGTGCTGGAGAAAGAGGGGTACCAGAAGATCCCCCTGCCTGCCTCCCCCACCGGCAGGGCTGTTTGTTTTCTGACCTGACTGGGGTGCAACTGTGTAAGAAACACATTAAACAGATGGATACACACACACACACACACACACACACACACACACACACACCAGGACTTAGAAACCCAGGGCAAGCCCCGGGAAATGGGAGATGACGTCAGACACAAACTATGCAGTGAACCAATTCTGGATCCTCAGCAAATTTCACAGACTAAACAGGCGCTTGGGACTTGTGCTGACTGAGCCAGCAAGGTTACCGGGTGGCTGCTGGGCTGGCAGAATCTTTTCTGGCAGCGGAACAAATCAGCAGGTAGAGACCCCTACACGTGCGGCAAGGCTGGCGCTGCTGGTACTCCCTTCCCGCGGTTTCTAAACACATCCTCAAGAGCTGGGGATGAAACAGAAGCTGGGCCCCCTATCTGGGAAAATTGGTAAGATTTCTGACAAGGAGTAAGAAGCCACTGCAGACTGTGATAAAAGAGACAAGTTTTAGATTGAAATTTTTCAGATTTTAGGAGAGGAGAGCAAGCCAGAAGCATGAGAAGAAAAAAGACAGTAATGAAGGAAAAATAGCCACGGCCACACTAAAAATACTCTGCAGGCACATACTCCTCCCTGCACATAGCAGCTCTTTCGATTAAGGCTGTGTCATTTCCCGGTTACTGCATCCAGCGCATGGACCATTCCACTCTAGACAGTTCGGGAAGGTCACGTTCTCAGCTCCCCAGCACCAAAGCCGGGAGACAGGGGACGGTGGCCTTGGGTGCTACTATCACTCCTCAGGCTGCCTGGAAGCCACCATGGGCACGTCTGTGGAGAGCTTGCGGGAGGCGAGGTCCACACTGACACTTTTTCTTAGGTACACTGAGCACCCCTGCAGTCACCCCGAGGGCCACCCTGATCTCAAGCAGGTAAGTCCTTACAGCAACCACAATCTGGGAAAAAACAAGGCACTGGTGGCCACTTTGTCTTGGTTACTACGATAAATGTCAATGAATTTCAACATTGTGTAAAGCTAAAGCACCTCAGCAAAAAAGTGTGCCTTACGAAATTCTAAGATACCAATGAGAAAAACACAGCATCCTCTCAGTGTCAGACACAGGGACCTGCACAGAGATGCTACCCAGTAACACCTGTCTCTTTTCTACAAAGAAATGGCAGACCCTACACACAGTGGAGCCAATACACCCTTGAGTGGGATTCCTACAACAGCCTTTTCTAATAGTGCGGAGCTTCTAGCTTCATCTGCATTGGAAACAACGGGTATGCAATTCAAATGCCTTATGGGTTAGGCAGATTATGAGTAACAGTGAATTAGGGAAAAACTCAACAGCAAACAGATTTCATGGTTAATACAGAAATAGAGAATTCAAAGTGGGAATGCTAGGGCCAGCCAAATGGTTCAGCAGATTAAAGCACCTGCAAGCAGGCTCAGAGACCAGGGGTTCAATCCCCGGGCCTGCCATGCCAGCCCCGCCCCCAGGGCACGCTGAGACTGCAGTTGAGCCTGGGCATGGTGGCATGTGCCAATGCACCTGTAATCCCAGCTTTTGGGAGGCTGTAATCAGATGAGGACTGTGAGCCTGATCTAGTAGTGAGAACCTGAACACCCTTCCCTAAAATACAAAAAAAAAAAAAACACTGGGGACTGCTTCTCAAACTCAGACAAGCCCGGATGACCACAGACTTTCTAGTAAAATTTAAATGGAACTAACATTTAAAATCCAGAAGACCACAGATATAAGGAGGGAGGTTCTCCCAATTTATGCCTAAATGAGATAAATCAGCAAAGATGGGAAGCGCAGGCCTGCAGGCAGCGCCCGGCGGGAGCCACGGAGCAGCGGGCCCTGTGGGGGACAGGCACTGCACAGCTGCCACAGGTCACTGCAGCCCCCGCCTGCCCCCAGAGCGCCGCTACTGGCTCTCTGGGCGTCGGAGTTGGCAGCTCCTAACCCAGTCCACCTGCTTCCTACGCACAGAGCTGGGTCTATCTCTGACTCTCCCCTGGGTAAGGGTCTAGCTTCTCTGCCGTGCGCTGGCTGCTGGTGTTTCGGAACATATGCTCACAGGCTACGGATGGAGCAGACAATGGAGCCTCTGCTGCGAAGAACCAGAAGATGTTCTGCAAAGACTCAAGGCAACTGAGCCTAAGCAGCCCCCAACAGGAGACAAGCCGTGCATCCCAAGCAAGCAGCTTCTTCCACGTGCTCTCTCGTTCAGCCCACCCCTGCCCTGGGTGAGCCTGCCTCTGCCCCATGTCAGAGCCCTGGACTGTGTACAGGCACCTACATCCTCAGGGAATTCTCCTCTGTTACATTTTTTGGTCCACTCTGGGGGGTGTGGAGGACCACCTGAGCAGCTCTCCCTGAAAGAGGGACTGTTCATTTTGACTGAGCCTGACCCTATTTCCTTGTATTGTCCTGTACAGAGCTGGCTGGGACTTCTGTTTATCCTTCAGTTGGCCTTAAGCAATATGTATTGGTCTAGCTGAGGTGCTGGTGATAGTCTTTGAAGGTGGCGTGCTGTTTCCCTGGTAACCTACACCTGCTGCTCTTTAATATGAGCTGGGTGGAGACAGGATGGTAGAGCTAATGCTCTGCGGCACCAGCTGGGATTGAGCCTCATGACAGAGGCCATGACTTCCTGGGGCTTGAAAGACTGCATCAAAGCTGAAGCACCAGACTTACCAAAACATTAGATACTATATAATGCAGAGGACTCTCTCTGCATACGGCAGAGGTAAATGCAGGCCACCCACCTAGCTCAACTCACAATGGTCACCTACTTCCCACAATTCTCAGTCAATCCTCCTCAAGTCACTCTCCTACTGAATAAAAACCGAGTGAGGCCCTGGGTCGCACTCTTGGTTCCAGAAAGCCATCTTCGTGGCTAGACTTAGAGTCCCTTGACTCCCCGATGATTGAAAATATAACTTAGTGTCTTTATTTTTGCCATGGGTTGCATTGTAAGTGGTAGATTGGAATCAACTTGATGGGATTCCAATAACGTGACTTTGGGATTACAAATATTGGCTTCTTGGACCGAGATGAGGACCTGGAAGTGTCTCCAACAGGGGGAAGCAAACACGGCTCCACCACCACTGTGCACGGTGAGGTATTTCCTTTTTCCAGAACAGACAGGGAATAAAAACTACACTACATTTTCTCAAGTGCTCCCCACCTAGGAAGACTGAGGGATTTCTCAGGAAGCAACAATTCTGTCAAGGAAGAACCAGAAGCAGTAGAAATGAAGTGCAGTAGACCGCCACAGCCATCAGGACAAGAATGACATCAGTTCTCGATTATGATTTGCAAAACAGTTACAGAAGTTATGTGTGGCAGACGCGGTGCAGGGCATTTTACATTGACTTCTTATTTTTGCAATTCTATAAAGAAAGTATTGTCCCCTTTTTGTATATGAAGGAAATGAACATGGGTTTTTCTCCACAAATCTGGATTAAAAGTCCCTTCGAGGACTGACCTGGAGGAAAAACGGTGGGCATACTTACGGCCTGCCATTCGCCTCTTCCCCACTGGCTGCAGTCTTTGACTCCACGGCACTGTTGAAGCTAGAGATGTTTTCAGGTGAGTAGAGGCCAGCGGGGTTGTTGTACTGGTTCTTGATGACTCTGGGGGCAGCGCTGGAGGCAGGGGAGGCAGTAAAGGGCATGGCGCTTCGGTTGTGGGCGCTTCCTATATGCTGGACCTCCTGCATGCAGAAAGCAAAGGAAAAATCAAGAGGAGCATCCAACACACACCACTCAGCGGGTCCTGCAGGCTGCGAGCCCGGGAGAAGATCCACCTGAGCCAGGAGGGCCCTGCTCAGTTAGGGTCCTAACTGAGAGACCCCAGAGGACCCAGCGAGACAAGGCGAGGATGGGGAAGGGTGCCCGCGCAAGTTCACTCTGCCTCGGCTCTGCCTTCTGGTTCTCCAGGTAGCCCTGGGCAGGGCCGAGCTGCCTCGAGCTGCCAGGATCCAAGTCTCAGCAGAAGCACCCTTTCAGAGGACATTCCAGAAGGATTAAGGAATCAAGAGGATCAGAACATGCAGTCACTCGAGCCAGCACAGCGCAGGAGATGATGACAGGAAGTGACAAAAAGTATCCCAGAACTGACTGAGTTTGGTTACCAAGATGGGAGACAGCGAGGCCACAGGGGGAACAGCTGCGACAAGGCAGAGGAGGTCTCAGTTGCCACCGAGAGACAATGAAGGGATTAGAGCCCATTGTTCCTCGTGGGAGAAAGATGAGGCCAATCAGAGACAATGTGTTACAGGGGTGGGACTGTAGGGCTGCAACAAGGACCAGAGTTCCAGGGGTTCTTTTTCCTGGCCTCTGTAATTTGAGAATGGACCTTCCGCCCCCACCCTGGCCCTGTCACAAGTACAAGTCAGGTGAATATTCACTACAACTACAACCTCAAAGAGCTTCCATACAGACACCCCAAACACTGCTTCACACTAAAACTACTTTGAAAAAACAAAACAAAAACTCTTTAGAGATGGAACAAAAGGGATCAGGGAAAAGACATAAGAAAGAAAAAAGGATGGGAAGATATACATGTGTAACACAGGGTGACTTGGATAATTGTACTGCTGATTTCTGCTGGTCTATTGAAAGGAGCAGTTCACGCGTACATTTACTTTTCTCTCTCCTTCTTAACCGTTTATAGCATTTTTTGGGCCCTATTTTGCAATTTAAAGAAAACAACACACAATATAACCACTGTTGAATTCCTATTATTTTGTTAAGCGAAATTTTGCATCTTTTTTTTTTAATGTATTTAGTACAGGGTCTCACTACACAGACCAGACTCGTAGTGATTCTCCTGTGTCCAGCCTCCCAAGGGCTGGGATTACAGGCGTGCGCCACCACGCCCAGTCTCCATCACTGTCTCCTCGTGCCCTGGGGGCGGAGCCAGCACAACGGCGTGCCAGGCATCGAATGGCATCCCCAACTCTGAGCCCCCGAGTCGGCCTAAATAGGCGCATCCCCCCCGGAACCGGGGATTGAACTCAGATCCTTGCACTTGCCAGGCAAGTGCTTAATCTACTGAGTCATCTCCCGAGCCACCTGGCCGGCCCTAAATTCTGTATCATTTCTAATCGTTTTGTTCCTACTATTTTTTTATTCTCCTTAAAAAATAAAAAGATAAAATCTTAAAAAGCTACAAAAAAAAGTGCCTAAGCACTATCAGAACAACAAACTCAGGCTTTCGGATGACGCTATAAGCGCTTCCTGCTACAACGCTCTGGATCCACCCGCCGCTTTGAGATACCGCACGCCATGTGCAGCTGAGGCTCGGAGCAGGCGTCATCACTGAGAGTTCTTGGGAACCGCCTGCACTCCAGTCTCTAGGTTACGTACTCATCCCAGAACAGCTCTTCCAAGAGCTCCTGTCCCTCTATCATTCTTCCCTTTCTCCCTCCCCACTTTTCTGTTAAATCTTCAATATTTTCTTAAAAACCATTACAGACAAAAACTAACAGCTTCATTCACTTTATATACCCAATTTGCAAAAAGGTATTATGAAAATATTTTTGTAAGATTCCTTATTCACTCTTCATATTGAATTTCTCTCCAAGTCAGACTCAGAGAGGTTTTACCCCATAAACTTACATGACTTTGTCTACGTCAGGTAAAAGCTAAGTGTACTCAGATAACTACAAAAAAGGACATATAACTCCTTAAGAAAAAGAATTCAGCATTAACAGAGCACTGCTGAGTCATTTTACGGCACAGTTATCCAAAGCACTCACATGAAATCACTAAGGCCCCGCTGCAAAAACAGCAGTGGATTCGCGATCTGCCCGGCAGTGGCGGGCGACACTCCTCCCACGGTCTCCCCAGGGCAGCTCCTGGGGGCAGCACTGGCCACAACACCTGAAAACCCTTCTTTTTCTAACTTGGCTCCATTTTCCCCTGTTACTGCCTGTTGAGCTGCAGGCAAGTCACACATTTTTGAGGTCATTTCTCATCTTAGAAATGGATAAGATAAAGCCTTCTTCACAAAGACTTGATGGGAAGGAGTGGTGTGCCGCGCCTGGCTCACTGCAGACCTCCAAAGGGCCCTGGTTCCGCTACCCTCCCAGAAGCACGTTCCTAATTAAAAGGGAAGACCATGGAAAGCTCAGATTGGAAATCCTGATTTTTGACTTTATAAAGAAAGAATCCGGCAAGAATGTATCTGGTTTGTACATAAAAGGAGTATCTGTATCCCCAGAGGGCAGGCAGATTCAGGACTTGCCTTTTAGAAGGGATGACGTAATTGTTTGGGCTTTGTATTCATCAGTCTCCAAGGAGACTCAATAATGAGGAAATGCGAAGTAGGTGTGTAGCTGCCCTGACCTCAGATAAGCTGGGGTGTTGGCAGGCTCGGCAAGCACCAACAGATCTTTTTACTAGGGTGAACTCTGCTCTTAGTCATTTTTCATCTAGTTTAGGGCAGCTACAAGTGGAAGATTTTGTGAAAATAAGAGCTGGGCAGCCTTTTCATATGAACACAGGATAATCAGAATCCACAGAAAAATAAACACATTAGATTTAAAGCGTTTGAGAATTGTACACATTCGATATATTAATATTACCTCCAAAATAGTAACACAAGTAATCAGATCTTAGGTTTAAGATGAAAATTCAAGTAAAATAGAATTACTGAAATGTAAATTATTGTGATTATTTTAAGAGAAAACTATGATTTCAGATAGACCAAAGTAAAATAAAATCATTTCTGATGTGCTATAAAATATATGAAAACAGCACATTAAAATTTAACATTCCTGGGGGCCGAGGAGATGGCTCAGTAGAATAAGCGCTTGCCTGGCAAGCACAAGGGCCTGAGTTCAATCCCCAGTTCCGCAAAAATAAATAAATAAATAAATAAATAAAATTAACATTCCTAGTAAATTTAATGAAATGGCTGAGAATGTTTAGCGAAGTTGAAATTAGCTGGGTGGCATGTTTTAACTTAGCCAGCACAACAGCCAGTTTGTACTCTTATCATCTTACCAATTTTTATTACAAGACTTGTATAGAATATGTTCAGGTCACTTTGAAGCTACAGACTAGAAATTTTACTTAAAGTCACTTTCAGAATTTTTAGTTATTTTTATTAGTGGAAAAAGTTTTGTGATTTCTGAAATTTTAATGGACACTATTTGAGAAAACATGACAACATCTACAAATGAACCACTTCAATTTCATACAATTCTATTTATGTCAAAGATAACTACCTATGTGTTATCCTTTTTTCTGTCTTCACCATAAAAACCAGTATCCTACACTTAGAAAAAAATAAATAAATTTCAAATCTTTAACTGGTGTTAAATGTGTAACAATCACAACTCAGTCTAAAATTTGTAAATCTCATCATCAATTTATCATTAAGTTATTAATTACACATCAGACATGTATTTGCCACAAGCAACATATTAGAGAAACTGTATGAGTTTACTACATGAGAAACTTTAAAAAAATCTTCTGAGCATTCTTTCTTTCCCTTATTTCAAAAAGTCGGCATTCACTCAAGAGCACTTAAGATTTAACAAAAAATAAACCACCTACTGAGAGATTGATTTATTTACAAATATGTGATCTAAATGTAGAAAAATACTTTATTTAGTTAGCTCACAAATAAGGCAGTTAGCTAGCTGAAGGGTCTGAGAGAGTGGGATGACCAGCCACACTGATAAAAATTAAGAAAGTTAACTAAGACAGGTCAAGGAATGAACTTCTCTCAGGCAGCATGAGGTGCAGCCTCTCGCTAATAAGCTTCTGAATTTTGAGAAATTTACAATGCAAATTAACCAGCTTCTTCTGAAATCCAAGTTTCTGGCAAACCCTACATGTCCAAGAACTGGGCAAAAAGCCTGAGTCCCAGCTGGTCATTTTAAATCCACAAGGCCACCCGCGACAGGTGACTGCTAGACAACTGAACAATTTCTGCGCTCCGTTTACATATAATCAGCTCTGGCTCAGGAGGCCATGTGGGCTCCCCATTCCGGACTTCTGGAAATCCAGGAGCTACTCTCCTCTTTCCCAATAAAAACTCTTCTGACCTCTTTTGGTTTGAAACTTCACTCCTCGACATGTACCTGGGTATCTGCAAGGCAGCCTGCTATTCCAGGAAATTCTGTTTAGCCAACAAATTGTGCAAGTGCTCCCTATCACAGTTTTCAATACTAACTGCCACTTTAATTTAGTAGTGTTGATATCTCACTAGAAGTTTCACCGTGAGAGAAACAGAAATTTTCACCCAAGACTCACGGAGGCTACAGGGAAACAAAAGCAAGGTTACTAAAGATTTACCCTCATTTGTTTTAAAGGCTTTGTGCCTCAGAACCTAAATTTACTAATGTTCCTGGAATGAACTGTTTGTATCTTCAATCGCAAACAATCCAAGCTAGCTCCTGGATTTCACCTTGGTCCCGCCAATCCTGCTTATGTTAAGGCACCACCTGGAGAAGGTTTTTTCCAGCTTCCCCTACCTACACCTTCCCATCCCAGCTCAGGTGGTTCCCTGCTATGGGCCTTTCCAGCGCCCCCTCCCTCATTTCCCTTTAAGGAAGAACTGAAAAACAGCCACATTCCAGGGACCTGAAAGGCTCTCTCTGCCTCAGGCTTCCCAGGCCCCCAGGGTACAAGAACTGGGAACACTGTGCCAGGATCTGGGTCAAAAGTGACAAGGCTGCTGGTAGCAGGAGGAGCTGCAAAGGTGGGCAAGTACTCACTTGGGGTTCAGAGGCTAAATTCATCTTGTACGGGTGGCGCTTCCCCTCCTCGGTCACTAGAGGAGACCAGATTTTATGTTCAGATCTGCAACAGATGAACAAAGACATCATTTCTTTTTCATTTTGAGGATGGGCAGAGCTGAGGGTTGAATCCAGGGCCTGGAACATACTAGGCAAGCACTTTTAACCACTTAGCAACATCCCCAGCCCAAAGCTGTTGTTTCATTTATGCTGAATTAGTAATAGAAACAGCCTCGTACCAATGGGCACCACATTCTCAGACTCAATCAACTATAGACAGGCTATATGTGGAAAAAAAAAACGTGTGTTGGTACTGAACATGTCTAAATTTTTTCCTTGTCATTGTTCCCGAAGTAACACAGAATAATGACTATGTAGCATTATTCCTGTACTGCAAGGAATCTAGAGTCATGAATGAGAAGATACGCAAAGGTTACGCACACATACTGTGCCATTTTGTGTAAGGCAGGTGAATAGTCACTGATTTGGGTATCTGTAGGGCCCTAAAAACAGCCTCCCACAGATACTGAGGGATGACTGCATTCGCTGAAAACAGCTTACAAAATGTTCCCTCTCTGGGGACTTTTACCTTCATTGCAACCACTGTGATCTCTGGAAAGCCCTAATCTGGGGACATCCATTCACATCTGATAATTTCCACAAACAGACCTAGGGTGGCTACCAAGCTGCCCCGTCTCCTTCCACAGAGCCCCCGACTCCCTCATCACGCTTATCTGATACCAAGCACAGGCTCCCTGCTGCAGGCCTCATGCGGCTCCACCTCTGCTGGAACGGATCGAGCCTCTCCTATAGGCAGTGTTCCAGGCCAGGCCAGGCCAGATAATCAACTTATTCACGAAGTTCATTTGCATCAAATGGAAGCAATGTCTCCTTTTTCAAGCTTGCAAAATACTGTCTTCCTAGCAGTCACACGCAGTAACGTTAGTGTAGTCTCAGTTTTCATTAGTGTAGGGTTGAAAGTAGAGAATGTTTATACTAATCTTTGCTGTTGTCAGAGACCCAGCGCACTGTCAGGCACAAAATGCATCTGTTCAATTGTTGGTAAATGAACAGAAAAATCAATTAATCAATTAGTTAATGAACGTATGAATGGATCCCACTAGAACATAAAGGAATGCATTTGTACTGAGACAAATGGAGCTAAGAATGAGGAGTGGTGCCGGGTGTGGTGGTACACACCTGCGCTCCCAGGAGGCTGGGGCAGGAAGACCGCTGTGCACCAGCCTGGGCTACATAGTGAGTTCAAAGCCAGCCTGGACTACAGAGTGAGAAACTGTCTCAAAATAAAAAGAACAACGACTGAATGTGCTTTTGAGAAGAAGATCTTAATAAAATGATGCATCTCATGCAGTAGGACTCTGAAGTGGACGAAGTACTTTGACATATTGGCCCACTGTTGGTCTTCTTGCCAACTCTGTGGCACAGAGCAGGAAAAAGCAATACATATACTTTACAGAACCCAATGAAGGGCTGTGGAGGCCAAGGCGACAGACGCTGAAGGACACACTCACAGATCAGAAGAAAGAGCCTGAACTTGGCCCAACAGGAAACAGAAAGCCACTGAAAGCTGAAACAAATCACTCCTAAAATCTTGCTTTTGTGGAATCTCTTCCAAAACTAAATGAAAGAATGGAAACCCTACCTACCCTAATTACGACTCCCAAGGGGTTCTACGTGCCTGTCCCTTCAGCCACAGCTCCTTCCTGTACTACACTAAAAGGTGCCCTCGGCCTTTTGTCTAGCACACTGAAATCTTTCTGTGTTACTGTAGTCTCCTGCCACAATACCTGCTGAATGCACTGTGGCAGGAGCAGCATCCTAAACTGATTCTTACGGTCCCCAGAAAGAATTTTTCATTTTAATATACCCAACAATAGTTAATTGAGTTTTACTTACTTGGAACTTTGGTTAGTTGTGCTGAATCAAGTGAAAATGCAGGTATCTAAAAGGAGCCCACAGTACAAAACTTATAGAGGAAGACATGCAACCCAAAAGCCTGTCTACAGAATTTTGGGCACACTTCCAGCACGCAGAGTACAGAGTTGGGAGGTGGGGGGAGCCCTGAGACGGCACGGAAGCCCCCGTCCATAAGCAGCTTCTAATCGGTCAAGAATAAAGAAATGCGTCCCAGCCTCACCTGGTTACTGTGAGAGTCATGTTGTCCACGCAGCCCTTGATTTTGTTCTGAGCTTCCAAGTGCGTCATGTTGCTGGTGTTTTCTCCATCGATTGCTGTGATTACATCTCCGATACATAAATTAGCGGTGGCAGCTTTGCTTCCAGGAGTGACCTGGCAAAAAAAAGGACAGAGACCTAATTGTCATTTGTCCCAAGGAAACCATTCTGTGACCATCAGGTTAACTATTCACTGATTTGTAGAAAAGCATTCTTTTTTTTTTTTGGCGGAACTGGGGATTGAACTCAGGCCTTTGCATTCTACTGAGCCATCTCCCCAGCCCCTTAGAAAAGCATTTAAAAAGGGAAAAAGGGCTCAAGTAAAGACTTGAAATAACAATAATCCTTTATATTTACGCCACCCAAGAGTCCTCTTCTGTGTGTGATCTCACTGGATGCTTACAACAACCTTGTGAGAAAGGACAAACAGCAGGCCCCATTGGAAAGACCAGGAAATTGGGGCTTAGGAAGGTTTAAGCCTTACCAGGGATCACCCAACCAGTACATCACTTCTTACTAGTCATTCAACTAGTCCATTACAAACTCCAGCCCTGAGCCATAACCAACGTTCTTCCTGCTGAACTTTGTTACTTCCTTAAAATAAGTCACCCATTACATTTTAAAAACCACATATACTTTCAGAGAACATTATGTAAAGTAAATCCTATATCTATAAAAATGTTAAAAAGTGTGTTATATGTACAAAAGAAAACTGGAACACTGCCCACCAAATTGATCACTGTGATAAATTTCTGGGATGTGTTTAACCATGAGCTTGAACTATTTTTGTAATTTAAAGAAAAAAAAAAAAAAGCAAAAATTTTAAATATGGTAGGTTTAAACTATGGGTCTAGGGCCAGTGAGATAGCTCAGCAGACTAAAGCGCCTGCTTAGGAAATGCAGGGACCAAGGTTCAATGCCCCACACCACATACCATGCCAGCCCCACCCCCAGGGCTGAGCTGGCCACAGAGCTGGCCACAGAGTCCAGGTGTAGGGGTACACGCCTGTAATCCCAGTGTGGGAGAAGCTGAAAACAGGAGGATCACTATGAGTCCGAGCTGCGTAGTAAGACCCTGCAACAATCAAATACATTAAAAAATAATAAAAATAGGAGCCGGGGAGATGGCTCAGTGGAATAAGCACTTCCCTGGCAAGCGCAAGGGCCTGAGTTCAATCCCCGGTTCTGCAAAAAAAAAAAATAAATAAAAATAATAATAATAATAATAATAAAATAAGATGTGGGTTTATATTGATTCACTTCTTTCCACCCAAGAAGTCAGCTGGTTGGCATCCTGCCCATAGGTAGACGGCTTTCTACAAGCTAACGCCTCTAGACCAACGGTTCTAAATTTACAGACCACCGACGCTTGCAAGAAACCAGGCCACCACACCAAGCCTGCAAATCCACCTGCCTACCGAGCAGTGTGACAGCAGGGAGCATGCAGCATGTCTCTCCCACAGACGGACAACTAATTTTCCAGTAAATACTGATGCAGTTTGGAGGAACAAATACAAACTCATTTTGAAGTAGATTAACCTCAGAGAAAACATCTGCTGTTGGGTATTTTCTCAAGCAAGTAATACTAAAAGTTGCTATTATCACTCCAGGCTCAGCTCAGGACTTTCTGACACCAAAAACCTCTCTTAACTGGGAAGCCGTGTCCCCAGAGCAGTGTGGCACTAGCCCCCCGCCCCAGGCTCAGCGCCCACAGGGCTGTGGCGTGGCCCTGGAGAAGTCCGGGCGGCTCCTGGGAGCCAGCGCGGAAAGATGCAGTGAACACTCGTTCCCTCCACGAGGCTGGACACAGATCTGAGGTCCTCGAGGCACCAAAACGGAACGGAAGCCCCCATATTTCAGATGTCGTTTTCAGCATTCCGTTTCCAGTCAGCCTCCACCCAGCTGCAAATGCTAACCCCTGGGGAGCACTCGGTGTGACCCCTGAGTCTTCGTTCACTCCCTGACCTGCACCCTGACCCCACAACATGAGGGCGGTGAGTCGATCCTGAAGCTCCCAGCTGCTCCAACACGCTATGACTTTATCAGGCAAAACTCTCCTGGAATGTGGCAGGATGTGGAAACCAAGACAGAGATCTTGACCTCCTAGCCTTCCTCTCTGGCTTTCCCATCATCTGTTTACCAGAGATCTGGCACGGAAAACGTAAGCCCCCAATTCAAGGTTCAGACCTTCTTCTCAGGCAGCCAATGAGAGTGCAGACAGACAAGCGCAGGCCGCCCTGTCCTCAGTCCACACTGGAAGTCGGCTTCTGAGTCACCCAGGGCTGGCCGTGTAAACAAAATGCTCTCATTTTTGGATCCATCTTCCTGAGAAGGCTGATCTGGTATGACTGCAAATGTATTCTGCTTTTGCTAAAGGGCAATACAGATTGATTTTTTTTTTAAACGCCCCTATCTGAGCATCACTTTATTTGAGAGAGGCAAAGGTTATAGAGTGGCAAAGCTCCTGGAGTCAAGGGTACTGCCTGCTCAAACGCATCTACTGTGTCAAGTCTGGCAGTGCTACAGGGCAGTCACTGAGCCGGCGAGATAGCTCAGCAAACTAAGCAGCTGCTTAGGCAAGCACAGGCACTGGGGTTCGATCCCCAGCACCACATGCCACACCAGCAACTGAGACTGGGCATGGTGGCGCAGGCCTGTAATCCCAGCGCTGGGGAGGCTAAAACAGGAGGATCACTATGAGTCCGAGCTACATAGTGAGATGCTGTACCAAATACATACACACACACATAGCAGTCATCTCAGGATAAAATCCAAAATCCTTAGCAAGGCCCTTGAGGCAGGGTTTTCCTCCTTCGTGTCATTACACCACCTCCACTCTACGCTCTAGCTCCAGGGTCCTCCCTCAGCTCTTTTCCACTCCAGGAACTTAGCTGATGAACTGCTCCGGCGGGAGGCACCCTCACAAGGCTCTCCTGAGAGCCTGCTCTGAGCTCCAGTCTGGAGGAGGTCTCCATCACCCTGTCTGTGCACTCCGTTCTTCGTCTGGCACCTGTCACATTCTCCAGTGAAGCTATACTGGAGCATCCCCTTGTCTACTATAAGGCTAAAGTGTACGAGGGCAGGTCTGTGTGTCAAAGCAACCCCAGTCCCCAGTAAATTTTATCTAGTGAATGACTAAATCTAAAATAGCTAGCGCTGCAACAGATGCAGTCAGGCTACTTCATTCTGTCCTTTGAAAATGAGCATTCCAAAATAATCAGAAATATTTTCATTTTAAAATCAAATGATCAGGGCCAGCCAAATGGCTGAGCAGACTACAGTGCCTGCTTAGGCAGGCACAGCGACAGGAGTTAAATACCAGGCATGCCAGGCTGACCCAGCTCCCTGGGGGTGTACTGAGAGGGTGACTGAGACTGGGCGTGGTGGCGCACGCCTGTAATCCCAGTGCTTAGGAGGCTCAAAACAGGAGAATCACTACAAGTGTCTGAGCTCTGTAGTGAGACCCTGTACTAAATACATAAAATAAAATAAAATAATCACCTCCCCTCATCTCATCATCTGGGAATAAATTCACTGCAAAATGAAAATAAAGAGACTAGACAAGAATGGGGTAGTTCAAAAGATAAAATACAAATTTCTTCTTACTTTTTTATATGCAATTATTGCTGTCTCGACTTCCCAGTATTTGGTCCCAACTGTTTCACAGGAGTGGCATTTTTGCTCAAAACATTCCTTCCCAACAGGCCCTGGACAAGCTAGAACCAGTTTGACAAGTCCCAAGCCTGAGTAATCAAGACTTAGCCATCCCATCTGTCCTTAGTCTGATTTCTTTCATTTTCTCTCTCTCTCTCTCTCTCTTTCTTTCATCTTCCTTTCCCCTTCCTTCTTTCCTTCTTCTCTTTTTATTATTAAGTCAAATTAACATGAAGCCAAAAGAAATCTTGGAAAATTACATGACAGTATCATCAAATGGCACACACATGTAATTACTCACAAACGGATTAAGTGCACATGCTTTTATGAGCCATATCTTTTGGGGGAAAAAATGTATTTATGTAAACAAATGACAAACTCTTTGCATTTTGCCAAGCTTTCTCATGCACCATCCCCTACTGAGATAATGCTGAGCGCTCCCGCAATAGACAACTTGACAAGTAAGAGAAAAAGACACAGAATGGTGGATTCAGGGTCACAGGTAAACCCTGAATCCATTCAGCTGTGGTGGATTCAGGGTCACTGGTAAAAGGCTTGGGCCTGAATCTGAACTACATCTCATTTCAAATTCCATCCTTTTCTGCTTCAGCCAACACCAAAACAGACTCTGAACCAACAGTCAGAGCCAAAGAACAGTCCAGTGGTCTTCTACACAGGACTGGAGTGTCACAGCCCGTGGCTGACAGGGTTCCGTCCCGACACAGGACGAGGCCCCCACGGCTCTGGGCTGCACCGTGCCCTTTACAAAATACTCAGATCACGACCCGGTACCGAAATGGACTGGGGGAGACGAGGCCTGTGCCCCAGTACTGAAGAGTTCCTCTCTGCAAAGGGACCAGAAACACAGAGCGGAGAGCAGAGAACCTCTTTAACAAACAGTGCTGGGAAAATAGGACATCCACAAGCCAAAGACTGAGTCTACACTCAGGTGCTTCACAATAGGTCAAAGATCTAACTGTTATCACAGAAGCAATCTGCTGGACGTTTTACCAACTAGTAAAGCTCTCAGAGACACAGGCAGAGGAAAGGACTCTGAACAGAATCCCAAAGGCACAGGCAATAATACCAGCAAATAGAATCATAGCAAATTAAAAAGCGCAGCAAAGGAAAGAACCAGCAGAGTGAAAAGACAACCTCCAGAATGGGAAAAAAATTACCAGCTGTGGATACCTCAGGACTGACATCTAGTCTACATAAAGAATTCAAAAATCTGAAGTCTCTCCAAAATAAAAGACCCGATCAAAAAACGGGCAACCAACGTGAACAGACATTTCTCGGAAGCGCAAGTACAAACGGCCGATGAATACCACATGAAAGATGGCCAGCACCGCGGGCCACCCGGGCAGTGCAAAGCGCAACAACGCCGAGCTGTCATCTCAGTCCAGAGAGAAGGACGATCACCAAGAAGTCAAACAGTGCCAAACGTCAGCGAGGTGGCAG